AAAGTTACAGTGCACGTGCACCTGCGAGCCACCTACGGCTAAATTTGTTGTCTCTGAAGCATTACTACCGAGATATAAAACACGAAATGGTGAAATTCTTTTTATTTCTGGTATATATATATATATATATATATATATATATATATATATATCTATTATTGATATAAGTCGAGATCCGGATAATAGTAGGATAACCTGAGATCCCCCTTTAAAGTTAAAAATATTCGTGTATAATGGGTTGCCAACGACATGAAATATGTTCTTCTATCATTACCCCTATAGAGGGGAAAGAAATTCATACAATTAAAATTATCCATATAAAAAGCAGTTAGGATGAGATCAAAAAATAAATACACTTAAGTAGAGATCATATAGTGTATAAAATGACATTGGTGTATTAAGTAGAGATCATGCGGTGTTGTCAAATGTACTTGTTCTAAAAATAGATTTCGTTATCTTTTGCGAATACTTAACAGGTTGTTAGCCTTCATGTGGGATTCCTTCGCGTATTCTTTCTTCGATAAAGCGTTAATATTATTTGGCACCCGGGGCTTGAAAATATTATAACATTTAATTAAATAATACCTAGTGTAATAGGTACTCTATTTTACATCGATGATAAATTAAAACGATTACCTATTTATTGAAGGAAAGAGTTCCCGTTGGAAATGATTTTTTTATTTTTCTAACAGCTGATAGTGGTTCATAAGTCTACATCTTTGAATTAAAGGACCCAATTCAAACTCACTTTCAAAGTACAATTGCCATTATAATTAATGTAATAAATTTTTGCCATTAACTGAAATGCTTCAAAATTGATTATGCATAAGTATTCATCCTACAATCATGAATAAACACCAAACCCAAAGAAATCATTATCAAATTGCTTTCTTATCTCTTTTCCAGTACCGTATGGCGCATGGTTGGTAAAAAGCAATCATAAGAACTCTAAAGTTATTTGCTTATGATCACATGTAAACCATTAGGTTGTTCAGTATTTCGTAAAGAAATCTGTGAAAAGTTCATTTTTGAAGAAAGATGCCTTGGTTAGTCAAACTGGTTCAAACCATGGAGGTGACCATTTTGGTTCAAAACATCTAATTCATCCTCCAATCATGTATAAACACCAAACCCAATCAAATTGCTTTCTTATCTCTCGTCCAGTACCGTATGGTGCATGGTTGGTAAAAAGCAATCACAAGGACTCTAAAGTTATTTGCTTATGATTACATGTAAACCATTAGGTTGTTCAGTATTTCGTAAAGAAATCTGTGAAAAGTTCATTTTTGAAGAAAGATGCCTTGGTTAGTCAAACTGGTTCAAACCATGGAGGTGACCATTTTGGTTCAAAAACATCTAATTCATCCTCCAATCATGTATAAACACCAAACCCAAAGAAATCATTATTAAATTGCTTTCTTATCTCTCGTCCAGTACCGTATGGTGCCTGGTTGGTAAAAAGCAATCACAAGAACTCTAAAGTTATTTGCTTATGATTACATGTAAACCATTAGGTTGTTCAGTATTTCGTAAAGAAATCTGTAAAAAGTTCATTTTTGAAGAAAGATGCCTTGGTTAGTCAAACTGGTTCAAACCATGGAGGTGGCCATTTTGTTTCAAAAATATCTACTTCATCCTCCAATCATGTATAAACACCAAACCCAATCAAATTGCTTTCTTATCTCTCGTCCAGTACCGTATGGTGCATGGTTGGTAAAAAGCAATCACAAGAACTCTAAAGTTATTTGCTTATGATTACATGAAAACCATTAGG